AAAAGGGGGGGGAGCTGGGCTCAGTGGGTGCAGAGGTGCCCCAGCCGCTCGGGGAAGGGGATGGGGGCGCTGGGGTTCTCCCCCCCGCCTCCTTGTCTGGGGACCGGGCCCAGCCCTGAGACAAGAACATGCACATTGGGGGGGAGTCCCCCCTTCAGGCACCAGCTTTCCCGGAGGAGGGCAGAACGGGCTCTTCCTGGGCTTGAAGGCACTTGGGGGAAGGAGGGGAGGGGAGCTGACGCTCCACCGGCCCCCCAACCTCTGCCAGGGCCCGGCCCCCTCTGGGCTGTCCCACAGAGACCTGCCTGAGAGTCCCAGAGGCTCAGGGCCCCATTCAAAGTGGGTCCCGCCCACGGAGCTGGAGTGGGAGTGCGGGCCCGGCAGAGGCGCATGACAGCGGCCGAGGTGCTGTGTCTGACGCGTGGTTGGCTCCAGGGGCCTCCGGCGTCCCCCTCAGACCTTGGCTGCCGGCCGGGGCGGCTGCTGCAGCAGGGCCAGCGTGTCCCGCTTCTCGATGGAGCGCAGCTGCTTCTTCTTCGCCCGCTTGAGCTTGGCGGGGTTTCGGATCTGGGGGTGCGAGGGCAAAGCAGTGATGAGGCTGGAGTCTCCCCTGCTCCCCAGGGAGAGGGAGGCCTGGAAGAGGGAGGGGCAGGGGGCAGGGGGCAGGGACGGGGCGCCACTCACCACTTGGACGATCTCGGCCTTGCGCTCGTTCTCCAGGCGGCGTTTCAGGTTCTCGGCGCGGCGCTGCTTCTTCTCCTGGGTGCACAGGGGGGAAGACGTGGGTCTGGGTGAGGCAGCCCCGGGCTCTCAGGCCCCGGAGGGAGAGCTGGCAGAGTTCCGGGGCGGGGGGGGGGGGGGACACGACACACAACGACTTATATCCGGGTCCTGGTGGTGGGCAGGTGGAGGGTCCATGGGACCGCCGTATGGGGAGGTCCTGACTCCACCTGAGAACGTGGGCGCCTGGGCAGGCAGCTGAGGACAGAGGCTTAGGCGGGGCTGCGGGGACTCAGACACCGTGCTCCCCCCTGGGAAACTCAGGCACATGTAGACAGAGGCCCCTGGGAGGCGGGGGGCCGGTCCCCTCACCCCACCCTCTGCCCCTGAAGTCCAGGTGCCCAGGTGCGGAGCTAGGAAGGGTGGAGGCCGCAGGAAAGAGGCTCTGGTTCGAATCCTGGCTCGGCTACTTCTTAAAGGGTGACCGTGTAGTTAACCTCTGTGCTTCGCCGTCTTTACAACGAGAACGCCCACCTACGCTTGTTCGGGGGAGTGAGGGGGGCGCGTGGGGTCGGCCTGCGGTGCCCGGCCACTGGGAGCCCAGCAGGTGGATGTAGAGGGAGACCGTCTGGGAACAGCTTTGCTCACTGCCGTCCCTGCTGGGCCGGGGTGGGGGTGGACTCCAGGTTGCTGCAGGGCCAGGGCCGCTCTGGGCTATGGGAACTGAGGGGGCAGGCGTGGCCTGGGCCCCGGTGAGAAATGAGAAGTGAGACTTGGGCTCCCAGGCAGGAGGTCTGGGCGGGGCGGGACAGGAACACCGTGCGAAGCACAGCGAGGAGGCCTCTTGCCCAAGAGGGAGCCGGCTGCATAGGAAGTGAGATAAGGCCTCAGCGCAGGCGACAGCCTCTCCTTCTAAGGACCTCAGGCGCTGGGGCGACTGAAGCCGGTACAGACGACTGAGTAACGGGCCCCCTCCCCTCGGCGGAGTCCAGAGCCTGGGGCACGGGATTTGATGCCTCCTGTGCCCTGGGAGCACCAGGTGGGGTGTCCCCTGGTAGCCCTGGTCCTGGTGGGCGTCACCGCCGAACGCCTCGGCCTCGATTTCTCTGCATGGCCCGCTGGGGCTTCCCCGAGACTGAGAGGTTGGGCGTGAGCCTCCAATGGGCATGTGTGGCCCTGGGAGAGTATCGGGGAGCTAACGGGGGGAAGTGTGGGCACCCACGGTGCCGACGTGTGGCAGCCGCCTCGTGCAGAGCGACAGCGACAATCCGGGAAAGGCTTCCCCACCTGAGCAGGGCCCGGCGCCATCTCACTGAACGTCCTCCGCCTCCCGCCAGTGGGCACGGGGCTTCCTCCCGGCCTCCCCCATCCTCGGGCCGCGCAGAGCCCGGGCTACACTGGACAGCCCACTGGCTTCCCTGCCCTGTGGTCACAGACTGCGCTTCCGCTCCCGGCCAGGCCCCCTGCCACCCTCGGGCTCCAGAGAGGCCGCCAGCTTCCACCTAGGCACATTGTGCGAGCATCCCCCCCCCCCCCCCCCGCCCCTGCCAGCAGACACTGGCTCCGCCCTCACTGCCGGCGCTCTCCTTCTCCTCCTCCAGGTGCCGGGCGAAGTCCTTGGCCAGCTTCCGCTCCTGCCGCTCCTTCACCTTCCGCCGCCAGGAGGTGCGCAGGGGCTTGTCCTGCACCATCTGGGAGAACCTGGGGCAGAGGGGCTCGTGGGGTCCTGCGCTGCACCCGGCTCTTTCCTCCAACCCAGTCAGAACCACCTCCCGCCTGCCTGCGTGCGGGCAGCCGCCCCCCCAGGTCAGACCCGGGGCAGGCAAGGGCTCCCCTCGGGCTGCCTGCCCTGTCTTAAGCCTCTGAGGTGGGGACTCCTGTTCTGTCCGTTTCAGAGGAGCAAGCCCAGGCCCCCCCGTTCCCGAATGAATCCCTGCTTGTGACCGAGTCCAGGCCCCAGCCTCTGCCACGAGGCCCTGGGAGTGCCCTGGAGAGGGGCTCCTCCCTCCGGGGCGGCGTGAACGGGCAGTTCTGTCACGTCTGGAACCTCTCTCTCCAGGAGAAAGGTGGGAACGGCGTAGCGCAGGCTCGAGGTGACCAGGGGAGTCTGGAGTTTCTGACGTGCGAGAGTGACAGGAGCCACAGGAGGAAAGAGGTCACCTCTGGGCGAAGGTGCCATGACACCCAGGTCGGGGTCCTGCCCCGGTGCCGAAAGCCGTCCCCGGGAAGGGTCAGTCCAGCTCTTCTGGGCCGTCTTCTCCCCGTCCTGCTCCACGCGAGTACGGCACAGTCTGTACCTTCACCCACACCTGCCCACCTCCAGGCTGGTGTCCTGCTCCCCCACTGGGCCTGCTCTGACCCCACATGCCCCTCACTGCCCCTCCCCTCCACAAGGCCCGCTGCTGCCGACCTGGCCTCCTGCGCACAGAACGGGGCTCAGGATGCACTTCCTCCTGCCCCAAAGCGGGGTCTGCGCAGCCCGGGCAGAGGGTACTGGCACACAGCCAGAGCAGCGCTCCCAGCAGAACTTTTGGTCATGGTCGCAATGCTCTACAGTCACACTGGCTGCTGAGCACCTCAAATGTGCTTGGTGTGACTGAGGAAATGAATCTTTAACTGTATTTCATTTTAATCCATTTAAATTTAAATGGCCGCACGTGGAGGTGGCTAAGGTGTTGGGCCGTGCGGTTCCAGAGCATCGCTTTACCTGGAGGTGGAGGGAAGACAGGCCTGGGTTCCGAGGCCTGAACCAGCCCCTGTGGGATGATGGCCAGGCCGGGGGCAGGAAAGGGCTCCCTGAGTCTCAGCACCTTCACGCACTAAATGGAGACGAGAGCTGTTCCCATCCCGAAGGCTGGTGGGAGGGTCACTGAGACAGAGCTGAAGTCCTTAGCACAATGCTCTGCACATAGTAGGTGCTCAATAAACGCCACCCTTCAGAGAAGGGACAGGCCCGTCCACGGAGCACCGTGCAGAGGCGGCATTTGGCATGAGCCGGGACGGTGGGCTGCAGCCAGGCCTCCAGCAGCGACGGCCGCCCTCCCCGTCTCTGGGCTCACTCCCCAGCCACTGCAGCTGCTTCCTCGAAGGTCCCAGGCATCAATTCCGTGGCCTTTAGGCCCTAATCCACAAGACCTGCCTGTAGCCTCTGAAGGTGTTTTAATGCTAGTGCGACCGCCTCCTTCCCGGTTTCTCTGCTTCCACCCTGGCCTCCTGCGGTCTGCGCTCCCCCAGTCTCTCTGCAGAGCCCGTTTCTCACATGTAACATGAAGAGGATCCTGGTATGTGAGAGGAGGCTAAACCGGCTGCTTCCCAGGGCTCATGTGCAGACCACACGCAGGATGCATGCTGGTCCCTGTTGGAAAGGCTCACCCCCGGCCAGCGGCCCAGTGATGGCGAATCTATGACACGCGTGTCAGAGGTGACACGCGAACTCATTTTTTTGGTTGATTTTTCTTTGTTAAATGGCATTTAAATATATAAAATAAATATCAAAAATATAAGTCTTTGTTTTACTATGGTTGCAAAGATCAAAAAATTTCTACAGGTGACACGGCACCAGAGTTAAGTTAGGGTTTTTCAAAATGCTGACACGCCGAGCTCAAAAGGTTCGCCATCACTGGTTCGCCTGTCCTGTGTACTCAGTGTTGGTAACACTGTATCACAAAGACACATGACTGTAACATGACAGTGGGTGGACGCAGACCTCACCGCTTCAGCAAGTCATGGCGGCTTACTGGCTTCTGCCTCCCGCTGGAGAGGGCAGACAAAGGTGCATAACTGCCTGTTGCATGAATTCACAGGTGAGGCCTGCAGGAGAGGCCAGGGGCCGCGGAGGAAAGCAGCTGGAAACAGCCGTGCGGCCCCCCTCCCCGCGGCCCCAGGCCTTCCGCCACCTTCTCAGGATCATCACCCGTTTCCAACTCGGAGGCTGTCTCCAGACGGCACCTGCCCGGCGCCCGGGGAACCCGCCCGCCACGCCCCGCGCTCCCCGCCCGCTTTACCTCTTCTTGGCGCGGTCCTTCCACACCCGCCCCGACTTGGGCTTTCCCTTCGGGATGATGGGAACCTCCGCCTCCTCCTTCCGCTTCTTGGGCGCCGGGGCCTGGGCTGAAGGTCCTGTCCGCTCCTTCGGGCAAAGGCCGTCTCTTGCCAGCTCCCGGGCCGGCGGTGGCTGGCTCGGCAGGCGCTGGCCCCGGGGGGCGCCGGGGGGCTGGGGTGCCAGCTCCTGCGGTGGCGGCGAGGGCTCCGGGCCCGGCGCTTGCTGACCGGGGTGAGGTTCCGGGGACCCAGGGCCCGACGGCTGATGCTGGAGGGGCCGCCGGGACAGCTCCTCCGCACCCGGGGCCACCCTCGCGCCCGGTCCTCCGCGGCTCCCGAGGACCTGCGGGGACTCCCCGCTTGGCTTGGGCTCCCGTCGGGGGCGCTCAGGACTCGACGCTGGCTGTCTGCGGGGAGACTCCAGGCCTGGACCTTGCTGGCCCTGGGGGGACCCTGGGCCCGGACCCGGCTCCCTCCGGGGGGACCCCAGGCCTGCCCCCTGCCCTAGGCTGGGCGATCCCGGGCGTGTCTCGGGCTGACGTCGGGGGGACTCCAGGCCGGGTTGCCGCACACGCCGAGGAGACGCGGGCTCCCTCGTTTCTTCCAGGCTCGACTCGAATTCCGCAAGGGCTCGTCTCGCCCGCGGAGCTGCGGTGGGGCTCTCGGGAAGCTCGGCCTTCGGGCCTCCCAGCCGCCGGCTGCGCCTCAGCGGGGTGTCCATGGCTCAGCCGGGAAATTTCCCAAACCCGAGCGCACGTGCAGTCTCCGGGGCGGCCGGCGCCGTCCTATGACGTCAGGAGCCGCCATGTTTGTGCTGGGCGGAAGCGTCCGTAGCCAAAGCGGCCATGTTTGTTCTGGGCGGGGCTTACTAGGCGCATGCGCAGAGCGCTGTGGCGCATTTGTGTGTGATGGAGTGAGTTCTAGCTTGAGGTCGCGGTGGCCTTTCCTGCTGTCTGCAGAAGGGGAGAGAGTGCGCAGGCAGGGAGGGGCAGGGAGACCCATTTCCGGGAGAGAAGAGAACTGGGAGAAGATCCAGGGAACCTGCAGGCCAGGCTGGGTGAAAACTTGGCCGCTAACCTACTCCTGGGCAATTGGGTAGGGGCCCGCCCCCTCTGGCCTCAGTGTTTTCGTGTGCCGCGTGGGTGGCCTTGCACTGGCTCCGTGCACGGACCCTGTGGGGGCACTCCTCCCTGCCCAAGTGAAGGAGGCCTAGCAGGTCCTGGAGGCGGGCGATCTCTTCGTCCTGAGCTGTGGGTTAAATGTGCACACCCTCGCCTTCTCTTCTCCCGCCCTGAGCGGAAGTAAATGTATGGCTCTCGCCCTGGCTGGTTTGGCTCCGTGGATAGAGCGCGGGCCTGCAGACTGAAGGGTCCTGAGTTGATTCTGGCAAAGGGCACGTGCCAGGGTTGCGCGGGATCCCTGGTAGGGGGCGTGCAGGAGGCAGCCCATCCAGGATTCTCATCATTGATGTTTCTCTCCCTCTTCCTTCCTTTTAATATATCTTTATTGATTTCAGAGAGGAAGGGAGAGGGAAAGAGAGAGAGAAACATCAATGATGAGAGAGAATCATTGACTGGCTGCCTCCTGCACATCCCCTACTGGGGATCAAGCCCGAAACCCAGGCATGTGCCCTTAATCAGAATCAACCTGGGACCCTTCAGTCTGCAGGCTGACGCTCTATCCACTGAGCCAAACCAGCTAGGGCCAAATATATTTTTTTTAAAAAATTAAATAAAACTTATGGCCTTCCCTTTTCAACATTTGCAACATTTATGGGTGAAGTTGAGGTACTGGTAAGACGCACCCCCTTTGCCCTGGCTCACCTGGGCCCTCAGCCAGGCTGCATCCCCTCTCAGGCGCCCCTTCGGCCCCAGTTCCAGCAACCGGGTGGATGGCCTCGGAGCGTCCTTTGGGCCAGTGGCCGTGTCCCAGGGTAAGACCTGCCTCCTCCCCTTTGCATGAGGCCCAGGCAGGGTTTGGAGTCTTTCTTAGGAAGAACATCCTGGAAGTGGCCCAACTGCATCCCCGCTCTCCTCCAGGGCTATTCTTAGACCTGCCTGGGAATGGCCGTCTGGGGTCCCAGGGCTCCTGTCCCAGCGGCCCCTGGCTTCTTTGTTTCTCCATCGGAGGGGTTGGGCAGGGGCCTGGGAAGTTATCCAAGGATGCTGGGGTGGGGGGCGGAGGGGGGGGGCAGAGGCCAAGGGCAGGGCAGGCGTCCTGGGCCTCCGTGCGGAGCACAGCTCCCACCTGCCGAGTCATCTGCAGGGTCCGAGGGAGCCAGCCCCCACTGACCGCTGGTCAAGGAGGAGATGAGGCTCAGACGAAGGGTCCTGGAGGAGGAGTGTGGGGCGTGGCTACAGCGTTTGGACAGGTTCAAGTCTCAGACTAATGAGCGAGCACGGTCCTCTCATGGCAAAACCAGGTGCAAGTCCCAGCTTGGAGGGCAGAGCCCTCCCAGCACAATCATAGCCAAAGGCTGTGGCTGTAAGCTCGACCTTATGGTCCGAACCTGTGGTCCCACATGGCTGAGTGATGCGGGCTTGATAGAGTTCAGGTGCATGTAATTGAGTGGATTAGAACATTGTTAACATCTTGACCACGCCCTTACTTTGCCTCGTGGAATCTGGTATAAAATGAAGACTCGGCTTGCGGGCGCTGGCGCTGTCTCTCCATCAGAGAAGCAGCGTCCCACCGAGACCCAACTTTTATTCTCTTGTCTTTTCTAAGTCCTTCACCCCCACACCCCACCCCCCGCCCCGTCAGGTTCACCCTTGGCCGGGCGGGAGAAGTGGATTGAGGATCCCTAACACCCCGCCCTCCCTGACTGTGCCACTCAGCAACACAGTGCCCCCTGATGAGGTCGCCTCCCAAGGGTAAGGTGGGGCACGGTCTCTCCAAGGCCCTCCCTGTCATCGGAGTAACTGCACCCTGTGCCTCTCGCTCGGGTGTTAGTCCCTGGCCCCCTGGCTCTGGTGCCCGATGCAGAAGCAGCCTGGCTGGTCCTCGCCCAGCTCCTCCAGCCCCAGCTCTCGGTTCCTTAAAGTCCTGCACCTGCCGGAGACCCGAAAGGCCAGCCACCGGCAGCCACGCCCAGCACGTGTGACCAGACCGGACACCACCCCCCCTCAGACCTGCTGGCTCCCTGCTCCTGGGCTCCTCCCAGTCCCAGCACCAACCTGCTCAAACACCTTAGAGCAGTGGTTCTCAACCTTGGCTGCACATTAGAATCATCTGGGAATCTTTTTAAAATCATCAGGATTTTTAAAAGATTCCCAGATGATTCTAATGTGCAGCCAAGGTTGAGAACCACTGCCTTAGCAATCCAGGCGCCTGCCAGGGGGGTGTGAGGGGAGATGTGTTACAGACAGGGCCCTGGGTGTCCCTCGCAACCTGTGGAGCCACTGTTAACCCGGGCAGCCGTGAACTTCGGCCCAGGATCTCCTGCTCTCCCCTGAGCGGTTCCCAGGTCTTAATACATGTTTGTGTGTGTGGGGGGGGGGGGGGCGGGGCGCGGTCGGGAGACGCCCGGCTACCTCAGAAGGGCCGGCGTGGCAGTGGCTTCTGGGACCCTGGCCCCGGACACTCCTTTGTTGTCCACACGAGCATCCCAGCCCCCCGCCCTCGGAGGAAGGGTCCTGGAGGTCTCTGCAGTCCCCCAGAGACCCAGCGAGCCCTGCCTGCCTGCTAGGATCACCTGGCCGCTCACTCTGTGAACAGACTGTCTGCACTTTGATCCTGGTCTCAGCCCTGGAGGGAGGGACCCCCTACAGCAATGGGGCAGCAACGCCAGGCTTCTTCCCGTGCCCTGCAGGACAGACTCCCACTCCTCGGCGACCCTGTGAAGCGGGCGCTGTTGTTACTCCTCCCATTTCACACTAAAGAAACGGAGGCACAGAGAGGCCGGGACACTTGTAAAGGTCACACAGCACACAGGTGGTAGCGTTAGGACCCACACCGAGGCTGCCTGTCTGCAGAGCCACTACCTTTTTTCTTTTTAATTGACTTCAGAGAGGGAGAGAGAAACATCAGTGATGAGAGAGAATCATGGATCGGCTGCCTCCTGCACGCCCCACACTGGGGATGGAGCCCGCAACCCCGGCATGTGCCCTGACCGGGAATCGAACCCTGACCTCCTAGTTCACAGGCCAACGCTCAACCACTGAGCCACGCCGGCTGGGCAATAGCAATGTTTCCCAAACTTTGGTAAGCATCAGCCATGGGTGGGGGGGGGGAGGGAGCTACGGAAACATGGATTCCTGGCCCGAGCCCCAGAATTGCGGGCGCAGTGGGTGTGGCCTGGGGCCAAGACGCTGCAGTGCTGACCAGCCCCTGGGGGATGCTGGCCTGGCCCACACCTGCAGGCACCCACGCCGGGCAGCGGCCCAGCTCGCTCTCGCTCATTTATCCACCAAATGTTTATTGGCTGTTTATCCTGAGAGGCCCCGGAGCACAGCAGGGAACTGGGCCGTACTGGCCCCACCTCAATGGCTCTGACGTGGTCTTGAAACAGTTAAATCTCAAACTGTCCCTTGCCAGAAGAGGCAACCTGACTTGCTGAGGGTCCCGCAAACGCCAAGGAGCAGACCTTGAACTCAGGACACTCCACCTTGAACGCTGCCACCAGCTCCTGGCGGTGAGCAGCTCGGCTCCTGGGGTAGGGTTCAGATGGCAGAGCAAGCGGCCCTGGACACATGTCCGTGGTGACAGCTGGGGCTTCATCCTGGGGCCTGGAAGGAGCTCTTGACAGACAGGTCAGCAGGCACCGCCCCCTCTGCCCACGTCCACACACACAGCTTTCAGTTCCTAAGACAACGGCTGTGCAGTGAGTCACGCCCTCTCCCTTCCTCTCCGTCCCCCCATCCCTGCCCGGCCCTTTCCTCTGGCTGCGACCTGCCTTCTTCACAGCTGTGGCCCGTCCAGGGGCAGGGTGGGCCCCGGGCAGGGTGGGCCCCGGGCAGGGTGGGCCCCACCCCCTCCATGGCAACCCCGGGACACCTGCCGCTGTGAGCCAGGAGCCCGTGATGAGGCCCCTTGGCCTGCGGCGCAGCGGGTACGATGGGACTCGGTTCCGGGGCAGCATCTGCTGCCCTGGGCAGGGTGCCCCATTTCCTCGGCCTCGCGCTCCCGCAGCGGGATGGCCCCAAACCCCACTGAGCTGCGAGATGAGGTTTTCCTCTGATTCAACACCTTCGTTCTCGGTCCTTCTCATGGGGCCTCAGGACCCTCGGGCTCCCCAGCTGCGGCCACAGCAGCTGCCCCAAGTGCCCAGAGCAGCCCGGGCCCTCCTGCCGCTCTTACACCCAAGGCTGCTCCAGCGAAGGTCATGTCCCCTAAAGGGACCTTCGAGTCCAGAAGCAAGTCACCCCAATTTCCCTGGCAGCTGAGATGCAGAGCTTCTGCCCCGAGTGGCTGGCGAGCATGGAGGGCGTCCGAGGGAATCATTTCACTCTCACGCAGCCCCGTGAGAACGTGG